AGCACCTATTCAGCACCTCAGCCCCTGTTCAGCACCTCAGCACCTGTTCAGCACCTCAGCATATATTCAGCACCTCAGCACCTATCCAGCACTTTTCGGTGCTGGGTGCCAGCACTTTCCCCCTTGGGTTTTTCTTCACTGTATATATTAAGATCAAGCTGAACTTTGATGAAGGGCTGAAAGAAGAATATATGAAAACTGTAGATGCCGCCTTTTGACACTTAATATTTCAATCACTTTTGAAGAACTCAAAGCTTCCTATACTTCCTTAGTTTACTAACGTAGTAGTTCACAAACGGACTGCACATGACTCTCCATTGATTTCTACTTGAGATTCTATATTTCAATATGTTTCTGTTAATTTCAGAGTCATTCTAATTGGCATTGCTGGCCCATCCGGTTGTGGGAAGACAACATACGCAAAGCACCTCTCGCAATATCTTGGATCGCCCATTCCACTGATGTCATTGGACAATTTTTTTACAAAACCAATCTATATTGATCATCCTATTCTTGGCAGAATTAAAAGCCTAGAACAACCGGAAACGTTAAATATCAGTGGCTTCATGAGTTCGCTTCACCAAATCAAACGCGAGTGGGCAAGAACTCCTTTTGATCAATTGAATCCTGTCGCAGAGAAAAGCAATCCTATTTATATAGTTGTAGAAGGTTTTCTTCTTTTTGCTTTATCAAATGATGTCACATCAATGTTTGATATTCGAATTTTTCTTGATTCCACACAAACTCGCTGTCGCATGCAGCGTTTTCGACGGGATACTAGAGTGGACCCTGCACTATCTGATTCACAAGTGAGAATTACTACAAAATTTTCTCAATGGTTTGATAACTTGGTTTGGGCTGAATATTTGCAACGGCGTGCTTTACAAATAGCAAATGCAGAAAAAGTCTTCAAACCTGAAGAATATCAAAATAACAACTATGCAATCCTTGATGCCTACATAGGCCAACGATTGAGAGAAACGTTTTGAATTTTACATAAACTATAGCTTTATTTTTATTCACTGGCAAGGTTCCATTTGGAACCCGCTGTTAAGACTAAGAGACTGCCTCTACTATTTTGTCTATGCAAATTACAAAATAAATTAATTGAATCTATGACTTTTCAACAGCATCTTTCCTTCATCTACACCCGTAGAAAACTGTAATTTTAGAAGATCAATGAAAGCGCTAATCTAGGAAAATGTGAGTGAAATGCAGTGACTTGTAGCACTCGAAATAAGACAAAAAATGTTTTAGAAAAGTGGTAAGGACTTAATAGATAGGTTCCATAATATTCATCGTCTTTGACATATCAATTTATGCTGATATAATTGCCTATCTATTGTTTCACATTCTTTTGTACAATAACGTGCTTGTTTACATTTGCTACAAACGTGTAATGCGTTTGGTTCTCCACAACATCGACACATATTTAATACTTGTTCGGATTCACTTTGCATTATAATTGATGAGAAATCGTCAATACGAACTAATGATGTCATATCATTTCCATCCAATCGTAAATATGGATTTATTATGTTCATTTTACTTCCTATTGTGAATACTTTACTAGTTATGTATTCGCCTTGCCCGTCAGGAAAACTGTAAATGAACATTCGTTCACAATCAAAATTTTCATCTTCGATCACAAGATGAATCGGCGGAGTCCAGGAATAAGCTTGTTCAATAATTGTTACAGACAGAACATAGCCATCATAAACATGATCTTTTATTGGGTGCATTTCTTTCAATGAAATTGCTTTCAAACCAATTAATGATTTAGCTGTTTGCTGTTGAACCCGTGGTGGATAACTGTAAGCTATAAGAACTTCTGTTGCATTATTTTGCGTGAAAGATGATTTGGCTTCCCATTCACGATGTTGTTTAATAACTTCAATTCGGTGTGGATTAGTAAGCCGCAATTTGTGATCACGACGAGGAGCTCCTATTTCTGCATTTGGTAAGGACTGGGCGTCAAACATAGACTTTAGGAGTGTTTTGTTGTTCGATTTATAAGGTAGAAAACATGGTAGTTGCACCTTTTCTGCATCTTCGCCTTGTTTATAGACTTTTTTAACAATACCTGCTAGACCATCAAGTTTATGGATATCAAAATAGCAAGCGGCCATTGCATAATATGATTCTGGCACTTTGCGATGGTCTTTGGGTGCAACCGCCAGAAATGCTCGATACGCTTCGATTGCTTCATTCATATCCCTACCTAACAGACGTAATGCAACGGCTTTAGAATACAATAGCTCGTAATAATTTGGATCTATTTCCAGACCGGTATTAGCATCAAACACACTAGCTTCATACCGATGTAACCAACCATTCACTGACGCACTTAAGTCAAAAAAATAGATTGACTTTGGATACTTTTGCTTACACGAATCAAGAAATTCAATGATTAGTTCATGTGAATCGATATGTAATAAAGCGTAGCATATTAGAACATCTTCATTGAGTTGTGAAGCGACATTCGTTGATTCCAGATTGCAATGATGAAGTACTCGATCAACGATTTCGACGATTTCTTGATGCATTTTTACACCAGGAATTTGAACAACAATATGCTCAATGCGATAACATTCTGAAAGTTCATGCACAAATATGTTTTCCTGTTTTTCTGTTATGCGTTCAGATTGAGTTAATATGTTTAAGGCTTGCGCAAAATGCTCTAGAGAATCACATATTTTTTTAGCTGTTATTGATCCACAGTTAGCATATTCGCTTAGTACGTTATAATCATAGATATATGGATGATCACACTGTTTATATACGGTCTTTGTTGTCTGTAATGAATCGAAAATGTTTTTAATTGCAGTTATCATTTGTAATAAATTCGGCGGGCAGCAATCGATTAATTTTTGCTTTACTTGTAGAGCTGGTTCAAACAGAGAGCGATTGATTTGATCAACAATGTTGTCCGGTTCACATGCACGATCGTACCAAGTTTTTGCCATTTCAAGATCACTTTTGCCACGTAACAGTTCGGCTAAAGTTAACATGGCATTGCGATCACCTCTACTAGCGGGCAACTGCAACAGTTGTTCGGCCTTGTCAAGATCTTTATCGACCCCAGCGCCGTGTTGATACATTAGAGCTAAGTTATTCGCTGATTGGGCACTACCATGACCTACTGCACGCTCATACCAGTAAGCAGCAGTTACCAGATTTTGCTGAACGGCCACGCCTTCAGCATATCTCAGTCCTAATGAATGTTCAGCTTCAGCTACGCCAAGATTCGGTAAGGCGTTAAATATTGGATGTTTGGGTGGTTGTTCAGCTGCTTGTTCAAGCAACTTGAGAGCAAAATTATGATCCTTTTCTACACCTAAACCACGATCGGTCAATCGAGCTAAATTATACATTCCTTCAGCGTTACCCTGACTCACTGCTTTAGCAAAGTACTTAGCAGCTTGCTCATAGTCTTGTTCAACATCAATATCTCCATGTTCATATTTGTGTCCTTTGGCCACATCAGTTTCAGCTGCATCTATTTTTTGCATTAACGTATGACTGGCGCGTATATGTTCCGGATTAAACCTCATCTTTTGTTGCATTTCATTTAAATGTTCAAATATGGTTGTTGGTTTCAATCTTGGATCGAGATGTTCTTGTCGTATTTGTCGACCATAAAATTGTCGACTTTCATCTAAGGCTTTCCGTATCTCATTGTTAATAGGATCAAGAGCTAATGCTCGTTCAAATGAATTAATAGCCTTTTCATGTTCATTCAAGACGGTATATACTTTACCAACACGAAAGTGTCCTTTCCACCATGTTGGCCAAAGTGTTCGGGCTTGTTTAGCATCGTGCAGCGCGCGATATCGTTGGTCTGTTGAATCCTCAATATCACAATTATTTGAAGAACCTGATTTTTGTTCATAAAGTGCTAGACGGGTAGAAGACATATTCGAATAGAAAATGGCACGATCATGATCTGGAACACCCGCTAAAACGATTGCTTTTGTAAATAACGTAATAGCATAAGAAAAGTGAAGATTTTTATGAGCTTGTGAGGCTGATAAGTTCAATTCTTTTGCTTTTTTCACATTTTCATCATTTATCGACTGAGAAGAGGATTCAAATACGGTATCATCTTTTAGTTTATCTAATTCACCATCGATATCACCAAATGCCACTAAAATTGTTGATAATTCAATCCAAAGTTGATTAAATTCAGAATCATCAATAGATTTTTCCTGACGGTGAGCTAATTTATTTCTAATCTCTCTTAATTGTTTTAAAAGTCTGTCTTCATTATCAAGCTGTTGGATTTGAGCTGTATCTAGCGTTGTTGGACGATCAATATTTACTAGAAGAGCAGTTAATGTTGTTAAATCCCATTTATTTGAATCTCCGCTGGAAACGGATATTTTCTCTACTGATGTTAAACTTAACTTTTTATTGTGCGCGATAGTATTGGTCAAATAATTGTTTCCACATGCCGGTGAATCATCCCATACTTTACCATTATTAAATAGGGAATAACGATTTTTGAACAATTGACGAAGTTTAAGATTTGAGCGATCTATCAAGAGTTCTAATTTGAAATAATTACGAACGTCTTTTGGTATACTAGTCATTATGAAAGTTGGACAAACAAGTTTAATGATAAAATTGATATTAAAGCTGTAACTTATTTGCAACCAAAATGCTCAATAATTCTGCTTTAGTTTACGATGTTTAAAATAATTTGTTTTATTATTGAAATATTTTTTATCTAACTTTGAAAGCTTTGGTTTTCAAATAAATGCTGTTACCTATGCACAAAAGTTAATGAAAATACACATCATTCTCACCAAAATGTTTACCTTTTCTCGTATATTTACTGACGTGTGGTCTGTCGGGCAGAAAAGGAAAAAAGAAACCAAATAAATAGCTATCCTGCGAGCTACTTGACTTTTATTTTTCTTGCATCTCGTTCTCAGTCACATGATTTTGATTTTTTTTCTTCCGACTCCGAAAAGTATTATTTTACATAAAATAAATATTTCTAACGCACACCCACACCGTCTAGTGCTTAGATGTTAGACTGGAGGGGTTCGGACTTCGTTGATTTGATTGAAATTCGCATAAAATCCCATTGTTATGGTGAATTATTTATTTTATTATAGAATATGCATCACCGGGTAAATTTTCAACTATAAGTTTTATGATGAATATATGTATGTTGATTTATGTGCAGTACAATCATTTAAAAATATGTTTAGAAAAATTTAATTTTTCTTTTCTCACAGTCAAGAGATTCAATACGAATTTATCACAATCTCAACCGAATGAATCAATTGTCTCTATGATGTTTTAATTGAAACAAAGCAACAACAGGAAAATGATCTGAAGAATAATTTCTAGATCGAATGTCTACAACGGCTATAAATCGAGGTTGCAAATAATTGGTTCCGTCAAGTGAATTTTTATATAAAATCCAATCAACATGAAATCGATGGTGATACCATAGTGAAATCATTTCTGATAAATTTACCATCCGTCGAAATTGCCATAATTCTTTTACAATGTCGATATACGAAGAAAGATGTTTGGGTATTTCATACGGTAGTTTTATACCTGAACTACTCAATGTAAATAATATTGTTTGCAGTAATTGAAACCCATAAGTATTAACAATTGATCCAAACCAACCATGAAATGTTGTTGAAAATGAATTCGATATGCACATCATTGTATTAGATTTACAAATCGTCCAAGTATCATATAAAAAATCTGAAGAAGTTAAAATATTATATGCAGCTTGTTTTGGAACAGAATTGAAATCTCCCAATAAAAGAACAGCAGCTGTTGGATATTTATTTTGCCATTGTTCTATTGTTAATCGAATAATTTTCGCTTGTTCCTGCCGTGCTTGTTCACTTTTAACATCTAAATGAGTATTAAAAACAATAATATCAGCGGTATCGTTATCATTATTTATTAATTGAAATCTTGCAATATTCAACGTTCGTGCACCAGAACTATCCCAATCTTTGCTTTCAACAACTCGTGGTGATTTTGATAACCATATATAATCTTGTTCTACCAATTTTAATATTTGACTATTATATAAAATAGCAACTTGAAAATCTCTTTGCGATGATGGATGTTCAAGATTCCTATCGATACCATCAGGTTGATAACCAATGCAATGATAATATTCTGGTAGATGAGATCGCCAATGTAGAAGTTGGCTGGTAAATGGTTCTTGTACGTTTAAAATAGAGGGCTGCCATTTTTTAATAGTTTCTGTTAAACGAGAAATTCTTTTTGTAAAATGATTGTTTGGATCACGTTCTACTCCATCGAAACGAATATTAAATGTCATAACAGATAATAAATAATCTTGTTTGATAGATAAATATTTCTGTAACGTAGCGGAATCATCTCGTTCGGTATAGCGTGGAAATGCAAATAGAAAAGCAATGAGAATAGAAATCAATATTGAAATTAAAATAAACATTTTTTTTCGCATAATTACACGCAAAAAAAACCTAACTCGTGTATTTGATTGGATTGAATGAGTCATTAGATATTACTATACACCTCTAGCATATAATCTGATAAAATGAAAATGTAGATAAATATAAATAAAATTCGAATCTATGGACTTGGATTAGTTTGATGGTTATATCAAATTTGCGATAATCTTCGCACACACTTTTTCCGTTGTAATAGAATGATTTTAAGCCTCTACCATGTGAAAAAGAGGGCGTTTGAAACAAGAACATGCATCTACGTCTAATATTAAAACTGCTGTCATCTAGATTGAAGTTTTCTAAAATTTCTTAGAAACACTACCACTAAAAAAACTAAATGCAGCGGAAAAACGACATTTTTTTACATGAGAAGGAATTGTAAGATTAGACAGTAGGACGAATACGAATACATAACGTTTTTGTCTTTCATTAATTTTTTTATCATGAATAAAACTATGATCTGATAATGCAATGAAGTTATATGTGCACTGTTGTTCTTTTACATATAAGCCGAAAAGAATAACAAGAGATTAATAGAGAATAATTAACAATTCATGCTTGAATTTTATTGGTTACTGATCGACACTCGTTGTATTAGTTACTATTTACTAGCGATTAGTGTGCTAGTCAATTATAATAAACTTGATAGAATAAAAAAAGAAACAACAATCACTGCTCACTGTAATCAATATGTTGTTTCTCTTTGTTCTCTCATCATTTTTTGTTATAATACGAACAGTTCAAAATTATCAAACAGATTTCACGACTATCTTTACCACGAATAGGTGAATAGTTTCGTAAAAATATTGATACATGACAATATGAAAATCAATTTAGATTGCCATGGAATGGCTCCGTACTCGACTATCGTATGATGCCTTATGTTGGCAATGGCCATGTGGCTACCGTTGTCTTTAGTGATTTCATCTATATGAATGGTCTCTACAATGGCGATAATGGTCAGTTTGTTTCTTTGTTTTTGACACTCATGCAACTTTAACTCTTTTGAGATAGGTACAAGCCATCGAGCTCGAATTACAAGTACTCTCAATTGGCAATTTTTATTTCATCCTTCAATTTCCATATTTTCACTGAATGTTTCATCTGGTACGCATTTCTATTCCAAAAAAAAGCGATCTGAAGTTTGAATTTGAATTAGGTACATTTACTGAGATACTCGAAAACGATGAAGTTCGCATTGAACAACGTATTTTTACATCACAAGAATACACTGAATTGTTAATTTCACATGTTGTAATCACTCGTTTGGCATTCAACGGTTTGATTACCCGTGTAAAAGAATGCTAATCGAATAATTGATCTCTTCTCTCTCTCTAGGACGAAAGATCCTCGTGCCCACCAGAATCAATGAACAAGTGGCCAGTGATGATATTGATTTTGTAGTTGCAGCTCGCAATAAACAATATGTGTAAGTATCATATCTACTCGTTGAAAACACACAAGTCTTTTTTTGTTTAAAACAAAAGACTACTCTCTGGCAAGACTCGTCAATTAGAAAATAATCAATTTCAACAGGAACAACTACCCGTATTTGTCTATTACACACCATTACCTGTAAATGGTTTTGAACTGGATCCACAAGAAACAAGCCGAACATATCTTTTTGTTACATCCATTGACAGTGAACAGGCACGAGCTAAACGAAGTTTTGAATATGGTAGGTCGAAAGCTTTTATCTTCAAATAAATCTGTTCTGAATCAATCTTCTTAAAGCTATCTTGAGGTTATGGGTATGTTATGTTTTATAATGTGTGTTTTTCTTGAAATTAGCGTCTAATGAACGTCATCCAGACCAAATATGGTCCTCGCATGTATCTCTATGGAATGATGTGTGGTCAAATGGACGTGTCGAAATAGTTGGTGATGATGAATTACAACGACAAATTAATTCTGCTTTCTACTATATACTAAGTTCTCTCCCATCATTGTCTACGCGAAGTGAACACAAGCAATTCTATGGTCTCAGCCCAGGAAGTCTTTCTCGTGGTGGTCTTGTAGGTGAAGATTACGCTGGTCATTCCTTTTGGGATACTGAAACATGGATATATCCATCAGTTCTTCTCTTCTATCCCAAGTATGAAACTAAATAGTCATATGAAAATATGGAATATAATATTGGAAAATTTCAACTTCTGATCATTTTTATTTGTTTCTCTTAGTTTGGCCAAAGAAATGCTTTCATATCGAATAGCTCTACGCGATTCAGCCGCCGACAATGCCCGTTTATTCGGTTATGAAGGCTGGAGGTAGAATAGAATTTACATTTTTTTTTTCTATACAATTTATCATTACTAAGATTTCCATGGGAGAGTGCACGCACCGGAGTTGATGTTACGCCATATGGTTATCTTGATATTGCAACCTATCAACAACATATCACTGGAGATATTTCATTTGCCGCACGGCAATATATCGCTGCAACAGGCGATAGAAAATGGTTAATGTCTGAATACGGAGGAGATCTTGTCTATGAGACAGCTCGATTTTGGGCATCGCGAGTTGTGTACAGTAATGAGAAGAAAAAATATGAAATTTTGAGTAAGTTTTTGTCTGATCTCAATACATTTTCACATCGGATTTATACAGCCGTATTGCCACCTGATGAAGATGCACGACCATTTAAAAACAATTCAGTATTTACAAATGCAGTGGCTTCATATTCCATTCAATTGGCTCATCGAGTTAGTTGTATCACTAAAAAAGTTGTACCTCAGCATTGGCTTGATATTGCATCCAATTTATATTTTCCTTTTGATAATGCAACTCAAACTCATCTTGAATATGATGGATTCGATCTGAGTAAGTTAATATATACACATATTTCTTTCTATCTTTCTTTTTTTTGTTTTTGAAAATGGCATTATACAGAGAATACAATTATTAAACAAGCTGATGTCGTCCTTCTTGGATTTCCTCTAATGTGGCCAATGAACAAAGAAGTACGACGCAATGATCTGTTATTCTATGAACCACTTACTCGTGCTAGTGGACCTGCTATGACCTGGTCGATGCATACAATTGGATTTCTCGAATTGAATGATTTTGATAAAGCTCAGCAAGTTTTTCGACGTGCTTATGAAACATATGTTCAACTACCGTATAATGCAAGTTGACTATATTCTCTAGATTTTGATTCGTCCAATTTTGTGTTTTAGATATGGACCGAAATTCCCGAGGGTTTAGGTGCTGTCAATTTCATCACAGGTGCTGGTGGCTTCTTGCAAGCTGTTATTTTTGGTTATGGTGGCATTCGTCTCACATTGGATCAACTTGAAGTGATGCCGCCACCTCGTTTACCCAACCAAGCTAAAAAGCTTATTTTTCATGGTCTTAAATATCATGGAGCAATTCTCGATCTAACAATTGACAATCAGAACTACCATATTGATGTACGTAAGATGGATACCAATATTTCCATGTCTCTCGTGTATGAATACGAACAAGAACAGTTTCCATTAACGAACAATATTCGTCTTTCATACCCGATTAATACGCGTCTCGTCATTCGTCCATCAATGCATCTTTGTGCTTGAATAGCTTTTTCGAACATATTTATTTCCTAAGAAAGCATGTGAGTGTGGGTGTGCTTCTATATTCGGGTATTATTTTATTCCTGACACGCTCACATAATATTAGACTGGGTTTTTCATCTTTTTTCAGGCATTTTAACAATATTATGCTCCGGTGCCGTTAGGGCTCTTTACAATACCAATAACAAACATTTTCATACAGCATCTGTTTATTTTATCAACTCAATCTAACTTTTCAGATAATAGGATTATCATATATATTTATTTATTTTGTTCATTCTTTGTAGAGCAAACTAATTAATAGAAAATCATTGCCACGAAAGAAAAATATTGTCATGAATTGAACTCTTACATAAAAGCAAAAATGACTTCATATATGTGTTAGTGTCCCGTATATTGAATTAATTATTGTCTGTAATACAAAAAAACCAGCAATAAGCACGGAAACAATTCCAATGACTATGGATGCTGAACCAATAGGCAACCAAATAATTAATATTGTTTTTGAAGATTTTGTCCATTGAAAAGCGTATTTTAAATTAATTTTAGCACGGTCTTTGGTAGCATCATCCAACAATTTTTTATGAACATAACATGGATAAATTTCACCAATCTAAAAAGACAAATTAATTATTGTAATTTTGGATTATATTGCACAGAAATAAAAGTTCAAAGAATATTATGGCAAATGACCACAGAAGCTCAGTAAATATTTTTTGCTTTGCATCGTTGATCGCCAAAGTTGTTATGTTTAACCATAGCACAACAAAATCCTTTTTCGCATTGCTACCTTGTAATTGTTTAAGGATGTCTACGTTCCATGCTGCATAGCCACTTGGTAGTCCTTTCGTTGAGATCGTTCGATCTCTTCCTATTGCATTGGCACGACAATAACTAGGTTGTGTACTTAAATTATTTACTTTATTGTATTCAAGGGCATAAAAAAATCGTGATTGCTATACCAACAACTATGCTTAGCAATACTAGTATAACACTCGTTGGTAGTAGGCAACTACCACAGCTATTTTCTGTTCGTGTTGCGGTTGTTGCTGTAGGAACCGTTTGATATTGTGTATCACTATTTATTATGTACAACAAGACTAACAATACGATACGCGTACACAATCTAGAAAATTTGAGAGTTGTTGAACTGTTTTATTTTGTTATTTACTTGATTTATCATTCTATGACAATCAATATAAAGGGTTTAGACTCAGTGTTGCAACTGGGTCAAAGCACTAGTAATGCTAATACTGATCTAAACAAAACTTATATCTCGGCTCGATTGGTCAATGATCTTAGAAAGGATATCGTGAAACCCTCGCCTTTGTACTTTTATCTCGCTGAATTTATTTACATTCAGAATTACGAGCGAAGGGTGTGGGTGTGCACAAAGTTTCACATTGCTCTTGTTTTTGTGCCAATAAGCATCATATGGACAGTCTTTTTACTGATTATTAAAAAAATGTGCCAATCGGCAGAAAAGAATTCTTTCGCAGGAGTTTCATCGTAACAAGTTTTTTTTTCATTTCTCTACGAAAGAATCTCATTTTTCATACGCTTTTTCAAGTGTTGTCATTTTTTTCTTCTTCCATTCTCTGTGTGTGTACTGGTCTTTTCGTACTAAATAAAAAAGCTAACCAACGATGGATTCATGAATCGCTCATGACATCAACGCAACCATTAACTTTAATCGTCATATATTTTGGCGTAAAATGAATGAGTAATTGAAGACACATCTATCATGTTGGGGGAAAAAATGTTAGAGGTTCTTCACATCACCGCCTTCTTCGATATCTAACATCTTTAAGTTCATCGATATACATCAGGCCATCTGTGTTACTCTTGATTATGTTCTTCTCATATTTTATCGCTTGGTGCATATATATGATCTTCATTCCAGATTCACCGAATTGTAACACAATTTTAAATAAATAAAAGAAATTGACAACATTCAACACATCATTTGCAGTCAATGTTATCCTCTAATATCTATTTGATCTAATATTAGCTATCCACTCCGATATTGCAGTATATTTCCTGTTTCTTTCTATACCTTTTAATACTTCCAATCGTAGCTCTTTCGTCTTTTTTGTCCGGTGTTGATCTAGGAAGATGATCGACTTAGTCTATCGTTTCTAGAATGTCTAGTTTTAAAATCATCAAGAAGAATTAGTATATTTCCTCATTTATAAGCTTCTTATTTCAATGACTGACTGTATAAAAGTGATATCTTCACATCCCAAAACATTAATTTACGGTCGTGTACGATCGTTGCTGACTATTGCAATGCTCGACTTGGAATGTGAAGCTTTGTTACTTGTGACAATTCTTTTGTAGATACTGCAATATTTTGTTTTGAATTATTCTACTTGCACATGCATATTTATACTGTTGTTCTATTAATCTTTATCAGATATTTCGTCGAATGATTATATATAATTTATTGTTGTGAGCAGTCTTCCTATTCCGCAATGTTGAACAGTTCGGAATCAGTTTCGCTCCCGGAATCAGTTCCGTCGATTCCGGAATTAGGTCAAATATGAACACTGTCCGATTCGAGAATTAGTTCGTCCGATTCCCGGAATTCCACGGGATTCAGTCCAATTCCGGAATTAGGTGAAAGCAGAGTCACTGGGAATTCCTAGGAGTTACACGGAATTCCGGAATTGTGTTGGAAGTGATAAACGGAATTCCGGGAATTAGATGGAATTGGTTCCGTGAGCGGAACTCGTTCCAGAATGTTCAACATTGCGGAATAGGATGTATTATCATTCTTGTGAAAAACATGAGTGCTTGTGTCTTACTCAAATATATTTATATGGATCGATCTTGATTCTTGTTTTAATTACTATGTATCATATGGTCTACTGTAGGAATCAACAATGCAGTCTTAAGAATTATGTATTCTAATTCTCGAATTAAATAATGAACGATTGACAAGTAAATTAACAACATGATGCCATACGATAATATAATCGTCTTGAATTAAAGAATGGTTGAAGCGTTCAGTATCTTTCAACATGCCTAACTCAGAAAGATGAAAGTAAAATTTTCTTTAATAAAGCGATGCAGCTAAACAATTTCGTTAACGACCCTTCTGTATCGCAAGAATAGACAACATATTAAAAGTCATTATCATCTATAGTTGTATCGTATGAAGAAAGTGGTAAACATTTACTCAGTGTGTTCGTCAATTGCATAGCCTCTATGTATTTTAACGATGGTGCTGCAGCTTTCAATGCATCGGTGTCTTCCATCTCAATAGAATGAGCATCGATGTGAAATTTCAAATAGCGTATCTTCTTATGTGTTATCGTCTGTCGAATAGGCCAGCTAATTAAGTGTCGAATTTCGAGAGTTATAAGATTGGGTAATAAATCGATCAAAGTAGAAAATCGACTGGAACGACAAGCACCAATAGTGACACGTTGAAGACTAGAATGACCGGTACAGTTGTAAATACCGAAAAATTCAGCTTGGGGAAGATGCATTGAAACGAGGGACCGAAAATTTTGGTTCAGAATAAGCTCAAGGAGACGCGCGTAACAAGTTTCGAGTGTATCAGAAGGCGATGAGAGGCGTAGTACCGTGAGATTGGGCATATAAATTGGATCTATAGCTATTATTTGGTGTCGCATAATGTGTCGCATGGTTAAGGAACGAATGTTGTTCAAACTGTACATATCTATAATCTCGCAACGATGTTGAAGGTTGACAAGAGCGATGCACGAGGACATTTCATACATTAAACATGAATCACGTGCCATAACATCGTTAACACCGGCGCCTGCTTCGCACAAAATAGTGTTCAAACGAAAATTCAGGCTGCCAAATGCCAACAGGCGGTCACTCGGCGTTAAATAAGTTAACATTAGCAGCCATAACTCATCAGGAAGTTGCTCGAGACATGAAGCCAATGTATGTACATTAGACATTAATTTTTACCAATCTGAAATGCTGTTAGACTAGAAGAAAAAAAGACTCACCTGGCGTATTGTGAAGAAAAAAATGAAGTTGAGTAACATCGCACGACAACATTCGACGGAAGATAAAAACACACTTTTTTCATTTCGCATTTCAACAGTGACTTCCGAGTGTTACTCATGTGTAGTCAGTTTAATAATTTCGCCAATAAAATCAATCGAACTACCTATGGGGCCCTCTTTTTCAGTACTGATGGCGGCAGCTCGATAGAAGAAAACTTAATTATAAAAAAGTATTTTCATATCAAACCAATTATCGATGCTCAGTGCCGATAGATCATAATTAATTTATCAGCAAGTCACGATAGACAAAGGTTGTTTCCATATGGGCTTATTTTTGAAATCAGAAACTACTCAGAAAAACCATAGTTTAGCAAACAAGTCCCTATTTTGTTAATAATTAGAATGGTATAAATATTTATCCGTTTTGTTGATCGACTCACACTGGATTTCCCAAGAGATTTCACAGTAAAGAATTCAAATCAAGCGAATGCTCTCTTTATCAAACAAACTTGCAATGTGAGTTGACCTTAGCTTATACAAATTACAATATTCAAATATCAAAATATTTCGTCTATAGTGTGTCCGTACCACAACATTTACATAACGAAAAAGATAATATCACTCATATTCAAAAGCTATTTTATAAAAACGAGAATTCTTTGTGTCAATTATTTTTATAATTAGTAATGATGGTATCTTACGCTGGGTAAATTTGTTTTTAATTTGTGTGACATGGTTTTATCGTTTTTATTGCAAATAGTCAAGTTCTATCCAATGGTGGTAAAGAAAGAGAAATAAAAGCTGTTTCAATTTTACCGTTTAGGCGGGCCTGGGTGTGATGGTATTGCAATTGACATGTGCATTATCTCTTTTCACATATCCACAGTTCAGCTCCAAACACATCCTCCAAAAAGTTTTAGCTCTTCAAACAAATGAAGAAAATTACTAGTTATGTAAACCTTATTTCAGGTTTTTGCCTTAATTATAGAGTTTGCCTATATCACAGAAACTCCTGATCGATGCTATTCATCATCAAAACGTCAATGAGAAATAATTGAATATCTGCTGTGAGAATCGAATGTATCCGAAATCCATTGTTAATAGTTTATTCGTTTACGATGAAAAAATCTGACAGTCTGCTAGTTAACTATTCTCAAAATTTTTATCCCGAGTAATATTCATAGTGCTCCCCTACATCCGATGGTTTATTCTTTATAAGGTAATGTATCGATCAAAGTGAAGAATGTAGGTGCATATATGTGACTGCTTGTCAGTGTTCTAATCAATGTATCCTGCTCATAAGCAACTTCCAAAAAGTCGAATCATTCCCATTATCATTACTATTAAAATAATAAACGATACAATAGAAACCTTAACAATATTTATTAAATTGAATCAGTTATTTTTTCATTATGAACGATTCATGATATGAACAACTATATTCATTACAACAATCAGCCTATTAGCCTGATGGTGGATGTGGATGCCGATTTTAAAAGATATTAGACCTTAAACCCACCCTATAACATCCAAACACACACACACACACTTCACTTATCTGACTGGCTAATTCATCTTTTAGAATATAAAAGTATGTGGGTGCTTCTTTACCCACATTCTGACTCACAGTGATGGTAGTAGTAGAGCCCCAATTAACCTATTCCATCTTTACGAAGTATTTTATTGACTTTTATGGACAGAAAAGCAACCAATAAGCAAGAGAGCAATACAAGTGAAGACTCAGGTTCGCTTGCTTGAAAATTTACTTTATTATTCTTTATTTTTAAGAAATTGAAGCAGAAAGAAATAGAATACCTTAGAAATTTTCTTTTGTCACTTTGTTGTTGTTATCAAAACATGTCTTGTTGGTTGCAAATAGAATTGATCGGACAAAAGAAAAAGAAAAGCAGCGATGTATTTACAGTAGAAATATGCGCGTGTGAATAGCATTCGCATTTGAGTACCGGTGGAAACTGCCAATTTATTAAGACTCGGAATAGACAATGTTATTGCAAGATATTTATGATTTTCTTTCTATTTACATAAACAGAACGCAACTATGACATTGAATACGACAAAATCACATGAACGTATTTCCATCAAACATTCAACGATTGATCCTGTTTACTTACTATCTGATATTGCCGAAAGTAAGTTTCATAGCTAACATTCATCTTATAAAAAGCAAGCAGCTAAATCAATTGCTTTGGAACAAGAAAAACACAATAATAAATCATTGTTTGGTACTTCCGACTTCGTCAATTTTCAAATATCTAGAATAGACAATGATTCAGCACGAGATTCTCTGAATGATCGACATGACGATTCGAAAGGCGATATTACTCCAGGTAAGAGATATCGATGCTGGCATTGACATTTGTCCAAAAAAATTTTTTGTGTTCCCTAGGACCAGGTGCTTACGTGCCAGAAAATACAATGAGAGCGGCATATAAGTCATCGCCTGCTTATTCATTTGGCTTACGATACAAGTATCCTGAACTCTCCGAATCACTTGGCCCTGCTATTTCCCAAACCCACGTCATTTGGCCAAACCACAGAAACCGTTCTATTCTCTGGCTTCCCGGTGTTACATAACATGCACTCATTGTATCGGAAGCTGATTCCGAAATCATTAATCGATGAAATTGATTGAAATTGTAATTGATATCAAAACAAAATAGAATGAGTGTGCGTGTGATGAGAAGATCTACATCCAATTTTAATAAAATACGCATAGTACCAACTCCAGTTAACTTGTGAAAATCAGGATACCACATAGCCAGCTAAAAGCCAAACTAGATTTCAGAAGGAGAAAATTTGACCTCTGAAAAGCAGATTTCACCATTCAAAAGGCGGTGTGAGTGAAGGATTAGCAGAACACCCAAGCACCTAGAGGGAGCCATCGATCGCTGATACTATCATGGCGAGTTATCGAATTATAAGTGGTTGAATAAATCGCTTCTTTGGTTCGTCGTTTTTTCAACCAATCTCATTATCTGTGACAACAGCATGTATTTCATCTATTCAAACCAATTTTTGTTTCTCCGTTATAAATTGCACCCCATCCACATGGTATTGATAAATACTTGATTTAAGTTGTTGCTCAATTATAATTGTTACTGCTGATTGTAATTTATTGTGGTAAGATAAAAGACTTTCAAATTTAACTAGGGGTGTGGGTGCGGGTCTAGATCTTCTATTTACATCCATCGCCATCAACACACTCATACTGCGCTAGTAAATGAAGAATAAACCTTAAGCATTTTAATTCACTTTGCTTTGCTTTAATCTAATTATTAGAGAAAAGATAGAGTGGCACCCTTAGTAGAGAATAAAACGAGATATTGATTCTACTTTTGGAGAAACGTATTGCTCACAATTAATTTTAATAGGATTCAATTTCAAGTATCTATATGAAACTTAATCAGGAGTTCATTTCATGTCATATATTTATTGAAACTGAGTGTGCTTCACAGATTTTTGTCTTCCTCATAAGAGCCTCAGCATTATAATAATTTCTGATTCTTTTACATTGTACCGTTCACAAAACTGTTTAAAAATTATTATTGTAAACTTTTCTTTTGATCTGATGGCATCGAGCTGGGAAACACCTTCTCAGATTTTACCTCACCTATTTCTTGGATCTTATTCATGCACTCACAACAAAGAGGAACTTCTAAAAATTGGCATCAAGTAAGTTCCGACAGTCGTTTTTCATATAAAAGCTACGTTCATTTGCAGATATATTCTAAACCTTACTGATTCTCCAAATTTGCATCCCGATTCTTTCATTTACTTACAATGTCCCGTCAAAGATTCTTCTTCTCAAGATATCTTACCTCTGTTCGAGCAAGTGTTCAACTTTATTGATCAAGTATAAATTATCTGTTGATTTGACGTTTTCTGAGAGTCAACCATCGCCGTGTCTCATTTATTGCAGGCTTCACCCAACTCATCATGTCTTATTCATTGCCATGTGGGAGTCAGTCGATCTCCTTCTTTTGTTCTAGCATATTTGATGCACAAGAAAGAAAGAAATCTTCGAACATCTTATGAATTATTGATTAGAGCTCGAAAACATATATCTCCTAATCATGGTTTCTTGCAGCAATTGATGGCTTATGAAGATTCTCTTTTTGGAAGTATATCAATCAATTTCTATGCAGATGACCCTTTCGATGAGGGTGTATCAATCGAAAAAACAGATTGACCTGTATAATAGCAATGAAAATAGAAACTAATCTGGTAGTTTCAACTATTTTTTTTCAACAATCGATTACTTGTGTCGAATTTAAGCAATAGACCAATGTGAATAATAAATAATAAATGCACAGTTGATTCTTCGACGCGTTTCGTGTTATTTATTTAAATTTTCGGGTGTGGGGTGTGCCAATGAAGAAAATACGGACACTCACCAGCACCCACATCCTCAAGCGACATGTTCTTCACTCTCACTCCTTATGGTCTTCTTAGAGCACATACAGCTGGTTATCCCATACGTCCTATAATATCAACTATCAAAATTTTCAGTTAAAGCAATGAGAGATGCACGTCCGCAAGCAGAATCACATATAAAAGATTCTTTCGAATTTGTAAAATGAATAAAAGAAATTGTATTAGATAAACAAAAAACTTATATTATGTGTAGTTTTGAAGTAGAAAGTTTATTTACCAATTTACCGGTTGAAGCAGCAATAGAAACAATATTAACTTATATCTATAAGCCAACGAAATTAATAGATGGAGTCGCTATGGGTAATACATTAGTATTAATAATCGCTGATTTATGGATGCAAAAAAGCACAAAAAAATTGAATAGATATAGTACTAACAAACAGATGATTTGGTTAAGATATGTGGACGATATTTTCTGCATATTCACCATTTCTAAAGAGAAAATTCTTTAATTTCATACACGTATAAATAAATGGCATCATAACTTACAATGCATCCTTGTGTCCGAATCTAATAATTTCATCGTTTTTCTTGCCGTTCTATTTACTCATGAACAACAAAAAATAACTACATCACTGTATCGTAAACGAACACATACAGGATTATATATGTTATGGAATAGTAGTCAGAATCGTCGTTATAAATCAGGACTTATTAAAACACTAGTAATACGTATCTACCGAATTTTTTCAATTAAAGAAATGATAACTCAAGAATTAAATCTATTAAGAGTAACAGTAGCACGCAATGAATACCCACCACATATAATAAAAAGTGGTATAGCCGAAGAAGAGATAATCATTAGAACAATGTCTCATACGAAGAAAAATGAAAAGAATAACAAAAAAAAGTCATTTTATTCACTATAAAATATTATGAACAAGAATCTATTTCATTTGCTGCTCGGGTAAAGAAATTCTGTCGTAGATTACTTCCTAACTTAACAATTCAGTTCGCTTTTAAAAAACACATGAGTTTAAAAGTATCTATTTACCAAAACTTAAAGAAATTGATGAAGACAAGAAAAAAAGAACTTAGTATATTCAATACTATGTATGGATTGTCAGAAATTATATATTGGAGAAACAGGTCGAATGAAAGAACATAAAGTTAAAATAAAAACACTATCATCAGACTCTAAACTTGTAGAACATATTCTAAAATATAAAACACAATATTGATTTTTCTAATACTCAAACGTTAGCATTCACAAAAATAATAATTATTATTATAACAATAACAGTAACATTAATAATTTTTGTTACACATTACTATCAATAACGGTCTTTCCTATAAGAAATCTATCGATCTATATAAAGTTTTATAAGAAATGTATCATTAATTTATTAAATAGCATTAATGTCCACTTCTATCGATACCACCTATTTTACAAAAATTATCATTGGTGTTATGAGAGATGTTCTGCCTCATGGCCGAGATAGATACTTCGTATTAATCGGAAAAGTCTATATAAATTCTCACTTGTATGTGTTACATACTTATACATTTATATGTATCTTTATTTATTTATTTGTTAATATTTATGCTCTTCATTTTCTTTTTCAATTTAGCGGATTTACTTCAATCTAGCAACAATGGCAGCATATAATATGTATAATCACAATGCTTCATCTTGGCCATCACATCACGAAATATCAGCAATATATTTCAACAACATTATTCAACATCCCCTACCATGTTTCTCGGCATATCCTACAATTTCATTCCTGACGATGTGCTTTAGAGAAGGACACAAAAGCTTCAATCTCCGTTTTTTTTAATTTCTGTTTAAAATAAATATTTCTTAACATTTTATTTACAGCAGCTATATCTTTCTTTTTTTGTGTACGAAACAATTCCAAAAAGATTAGATGATGGCGAAGTTTAATAAGCATCGAAAGATAATTCCTGATCGATAGTATGTATCGTGGTTGAAAGCATCTCTGCTACAGGTTATATTGTTCTTGACAAAAGTGAAATTTTACTAAAACGTATTGCATGAAAATCATGCCCAATTTCATCTCAGTAGTGACACTTACAACATCCATATCAACTGAATGGATTATCTGCTTGACTTAAAACTAAAGCATTCTTCTTATCTCAACTGTAAGTATCTCCTGGAAAAATTTCCGCTAAATCGATGACATTGATTTGAGTAACGTGCAGCAGAGAATGGACTTGGCTTACGTGCAATGCCTCCCAAGAAACAATCTGAGCTCATTGTGACAGGTTACAGTAAAACGTCAAGAATCTGACCCGGGATTAGTCGATTATGGGGGACCTCTGCATCCAGTTCAACAAAAGGGTGTTTAATTGGTAGAGCTCGTCAAGATCTACTTGGATGATAGCATGAATTTGTTCGAAAGTTCTTTGAAGCGAATCCATTCAGAAAGTACTGGAATCCTGACGTAAGATATCGTACATTATTTCAGCAGTATGGCCGATCTGTGTATGACAACAGTTTCAATCACTGTTCCTTCGTGGATTAGAATCTTTGTGTCGTCGTTTTCAACTCATTATTTGGTCTTTTTGACCATATTGTTTTAGTGAGGCTAGGAAGTTCAAAAATGGAAAAAATGATTAGCTTTTAATAAAAATAAATATTGTTACGGAAAGTGAACACGTTGACTGATTATTTTGAAAAAGAGTGTATACTTTCGATAGGGCAGCATCATACAAAATTAATCAAACTCATTTCATTCAAATAGTAAGCAATATTGAAAACTAATCGAACTAATGGATTATTCTCAATCAAATTGCAGCACCGTCACGGCCAGGAGGTAGTAGTAACGAGGGGCGCGGAATGAATTCTACGGTGGCACTTTAGAACGCATTTAGGAGTGAGATATTTTGCTTAACAACTGTATTCCAATTCTGAAAATTTATGGTTTCCTCCAGTCATCCCATGATGTGTTGTATCAGACAACAGCGAAATCGATACTGGCTACTCACATTCTAACTCACCCTGATCCCTAAACAATCACATAGAGAAAGCATCATAAAAAAAAAACTTAGAATGATTCTTTCTTTTCCTAGTGTAAGTAACGAAATGTGCCTTATTCGAAAAATTACCATAAAGATAATTATATGTATGTTTTCATTATGAGACTACTATGTGGCCTCACTCATTTTCAATAAACATAATGAATACAAACAGAAATCTCACATTCAAAGAGAGACGTATGATTTCAGAGTGAACAACTACAGTTCTGATGAGAAATACAAGAAAGCTAGAAGGATCTCATGTGGATCGTTGGACATCACAAAATTTCGATTACAATCAATCATCTGCATCATGTGTAAATGAAAAGAAATTGCCAAAAAAATATACTCGTGGTTGCTGGTTCGCTGTTGCTTTTGGTCTTATTGTGTGGACTGGCGTCCTGATCACAGTGGGTATTCTAATCATTACATTTGCCATTCATCCAGCAACAACAACGATCACACAAACCAGTGAGTTATCTTAGACGATCAAGACTATATCGCTATAGACAATTTCGAAACCATCTCTTATCATCATGTGAATACAGTTGTTAAGCAAAATATCTCACTCCTAAATGCGTTCTAAAGTGCCACCGTAGAATTCATTCCAATAATAATTCGGAATAGATTCGAATGAATATCGAAGAACAATACTGACTTTTGACATAGCTATTGAATTTAGGTTGATGACTGAAGTTTTTTCGAGAAACCTATCATGTGACTGTGTTTCCAAAAAGATTCTAACAGCAGTCATTCATCATAACTGATTGAATATTCTCAGATTATGTTCTTTTTCGAAATCAATGGAAATAGATAATCAAAGTAGGAGAAAATCATTGAAAGTCCTTGAGAAAGTTTGTGTCTTAAGCATTGAATTAAAATAAAAGTAGTATGAATAACTGACTTGAAGTAATTGTATTCATTTATTTAGCAACGTTAGTCACTAAAACGACGACAACCAGTACTACAACAACAACAGGCACAAGTGAGTGCTATTTGTGTAAACATTGTTAATAAATGATGAAAAAAAGGCACTTCCTATTTGTAATCACGATAGCTTTTTCGTTGAGAAATGACAGCTAGATAATATAATATCTGTCACGTATTACGAATTACGTAATAGAAATAGAGTGGTCAAGGTCAATAATGTGTTTTATTGACTCGAGAAACAAAAACAGGAAAACACAAGATGAAAGAAACGAAACACGAATATTAAACTAGATTCCTTTAGAAGAGAACACATATATATATATATATGAATATAGATATGACGACTCATTCGAAAGGAATTCAAAGAACAGAAAAACAAAACTAACACATATAATGTAATATATGTTACTATATCACAATATCTATTTTACCGTCATTTTTATAATATGCTTTACTGTGCCTACACCGCAACCATCGAATGCTTGGTTCTTTGTTGGTAACATGTCTTCTATTCGATATCTTCATACTAGTACTCTAATCTCACAAGATGGCAGTGTTCTTATTACGGGCGGCTATAATGCGGTCGTCGGATTAGCATCTACTGAAAAGTATATACCATCGACGGGATGTTTCCAGACGATGAGCTGTATGTCGGTAGCACGCTACCTGCATACTGCTGATCAATTGCCTTCCTTGTCCTCATTCGTTATCATTGCAGGTGGTTACAATACTGTTTCAGGTGTGTTGAATACTGCTGATCTTTTGATCCAATGACAGGAAACATAATAACGATTGCGTTAACATCTTTGCGATATGCACGCAGATCGGTCGTGTTCAACGCATCGAAATTGGTGCTTATAGGTGGTGGAAACGGTGTCACGACAATAGCTACTGGAGATGTCTTTACTGCTGGTTCACCATCATTATTTACAAGTGCCAACAATGCAATGCCAATGGCGCCATTTTGGCATACAGCCACGGATCTGGGTAATAATTCTTACCTTGCTTTTATTGCCGGTGGTATGGATGGTCGTGCAATATTTTTTTCAGCTGTTGCCCTTTACCAAGCATCGTCGACGGCATTTATCTCACTTGTCGCCGGTGTCAATATGCCAACAACACGTGCTTATCACACAGCCACTTATTTGCCAGCGCCTTACAATCAAGTACTACTTACAGGTGGAAATTTAGATAGTACTACCTGGCTCAATGCGTTGACTCTATTTGATGTTGCAAGCCTACAGTTTATTCCTCTCACGTCAACTATGTCGAGTCAACGTTCACGGCATACCGCTACGTTATTATCTAATGGGAAAATTTTACTAGTAGGTGGTTACAATGGTATCATGGGATTGAATACTTGTGAACTAATCGATCCATCTAATAACTTCTTGTCAACGCCAGCAACCAATCTTAATATAGCTAGATACCACCATACAGCTACATTACTTTCAAATAGTGAAATCAGCACTGTACTCGTGTGTGGTGGCTATAATAATCTTCTTGGCCCAGTCAATAGTTGCGAACTTTACTTTGTCTGAGAGAAAAATGGATATGAAAATGTACGTGTGAAGTCATCTATTTGTAGAGAAAATCATAGGTTGTCAATGGATGTATGTGTGTGAGCTTTAACATAACTTGTACACATCCACAACCACGCTGTAAGAAGAGTACATTTATAAACAGCGTACATAGCTTCATATATCTGTGCTGATTTTGATGGCAGACTTCGTTGATTTTCCTTCCTTCTTAATATATTCTTTTTCTAATGTTCTCATATATTTCTCTTCTATCTCTCTTCTATATATACGTGTGTTATGTATGAAGTTACTACACTCTGGATAGGATGAAGTAACGAATAAGCATCATTGTCGAGGGTGACTGTCCGCTGCCTCAACCCAGTTTCCCATTACGTATTGATCCTGTCAGGGTCTATTTATTATAATAAACCCTTGCCCTTGATTTTCCTTTTCATAAACTCTTGAGGGGTTTATGAGGATGGAATATACCCTTGAAGGGTTCATGATCCAAAGGGTTTTTGAGCGTAAGGGTATTTGAAGAGGCACAGGGTATATGGAGCTCTTTTAAAGGTTTTGTATTTCATATTTTAAGGAAAGCAGTTCATTATTAAACGATTAGGGGTAGATTAATAAAC